TGGCCAAAAAGCGTTGCCTACCCCTGCTATAGGTTCTTTTGGAAAAAAGGGCGAAGGGAAAAAAAGGTGGGAAAAGACAAGAGGGACTGTGTGCGGGTTGTATACTTCATTAAAAGCTTCCAAAGCTGAAGAACTAGAACAGAAAGCAGTTTTCCACTCACCTCTGATGTTAGTCTCCTGGTTGCAACTTGAGAGCTTTGGGTGTCACGAGTGCTCAGAACCTTTCAGGACCTGCTCCCTAGTCCCCATTTTTTGCTAAGTCACAAGACCAGAAACATCAAAACCAAATAACTGTTAAATCCTGTTTCCCATTAATGCCTTATAACATCTGTTTCAAATTATTGTAAATATTTGGCTTATCTTGAAAACATTTGTATTGCTTTGCTTGCCCTTCTCACAACAGAAAAACCTTTTCCCTGTTCTTCTATTTTCCAGAATCCAAGCCCTGCAGCACGATTGTTTTCTGTTTTTTAAAGACAAGGCTTGCAGCTTGGACAAAGACTCTGCTCTAGCCATGGACTGGACCATCGATCTTTGTGTATTTAGTGGAGATAAATGACTAGGCCAGAGGTCAGCAACCTACAGCCCATGGAACTATTTTATCCAGCCAGGACAGCTGGAGGGTTTCTGTGGCATTTGAGAAGTGTTTCTGCAGCAGAAGAGTTTCACACGGGTGGCAGGGAGAAGCAGTGGCAGCACTGCAGGTGGGTTGAGGAGCAGTGACTCTGGGTCCAGTGGCTGGACAGGATGAGAAGTGGCCTGTGCTAAGCTAAGTTCTGTTAAAGCAGTCCTCCACTACAAAGAGTTACCCAAAAACTAGGGTATGGGAGTAATTGGGAGGTACATTGTTAAAACCTCATGGCATTGATGTTGAAGAAAGAAAAGGCCAGTGAACTGAAAAACATGAACCAGTTAGCAGCTCTGACAGCTGCTATGAACCCATCTATGTATCTTGCCTCATTCCCCCAGGGCTCCATGTTTCCAGCAGAGTTCAGCCATATATTACATGTACTTGTGGGTCTTTAGTATTTTCACTAAACACAGAGACTTATTTCCTAATCCTTAAAACAAACTGTTTTTATAGTTTTTACAACAGGCCAGCTTGCCATTACTGTGCATCGCTTTCTGAGAAGAGAAGCACTACTGCCATCTAGTGCCTGGGTCATTTTTTCTTTTGCTGCCTTAAATGTAAAGTATTTCTGTGTTAAAAATATTTTCTTCCTGCAGTTAATCAGTAACAAAGAATCACAATCTGGAGCACAAATACTCAGTTCCTGCACTGGTTGCCTTTCCATCATGCAACTGATTTTAAATTAATCCAGCCTGAGTTTTTAATATTTTTATTTTATAGTGAAACTGTGCTGCTCATTTATGTTTCTCACCTAATTATAGGCAGGCAAGGTTCTTTGAGTAGATGGGATATCTTTTATTAGACCAACTGAGTAGTTGGAAAAAAGTTCTTAGCAAGATTTCAGGCGCAATCACCCTTCTGCAAACATAGGAAGTCTCTGCTGTTTGGAGACTCCAAGGAACGAGAGAAGCTGGGAGTGTGGCAGGATGTCAGCGAGAATGTAATTAGGTGG